TGTGGATTATTAGTGAACAGTTGCGAGGAGTTTTAAATAAGGACGACATAGGTGTTTAGTATCATTTGCTTTTGATTAGTCTTCAGTCTGATGCCAGTTCATGATGAGAACTATCCCCAATCTGCTTTGATTTCTTTTATTTCAGCTTCAGTTAGAATTGATGTACGATAAACATTTATATTTTAGATATTAAAGCTGATTTATTAAACACACTCATGATATCTCGTGGATATAAATTGTTTTAAAAACGCCTCTTTAGTGACACAGTTACTTACAATCACTTTAGTATTAAACATTTTGTAGTAGCTAGTGGATTGAGAAACAGCCTTCATTTACGTTTTCATAAAGTTATTCGTTGAAATTTATACTAAATATATCATTATAGACAAAACAAATAAAGATTAGTGGTATGTTTTGTATGTATGTTGTGGATGGCTTTTAGAAAAAACTGACGAAATCCAGTGGGACAATTTGTTTCACTATAACAGAGTTAGCCGATTTTTACTTACATAGACACATGTTATTAATCCATCAGTAAAGAAACTTATAGGTTGATAAGCTTCGAAATGCAATATCATCTAATCCCTAATACACGTCTATGCACATATCTTAGTGATAGATAATAAAAACCCTAGAAATTTTCTTGAATTGATTCTTACATTAGAAAAGTGAGATTACCACTAGTACTAAACCCAGTTTGCGTACTAGAAAATCCGTGAATAACAACTAAATATCATGTTTCTTTTAGCGTGAAGATTCTGATTTCATACTACTATTGTTACTCTACTTGATATTGAGATCATGTTCACTGTGTAGATTCTCTTTAACCTTGGATGGATGCTCTTTGTTGAACAGTCCCATACTAGGACGAAACGACAGTCCTGTGCTTCCAGGTTTTCGATGGTGGTTTAACTTAGACCGACTCATGGTTTAAATGAATCCCAAGAGTCTTTGCGACTCCACAGCGAAAATAATATATTTGTAAGTCTTTAAACGTCAGTGTCATTCGATTTAATCACCAAAAAATAATGTCCACTGTTTTGTAATTAACAGTCGAACATTTATCAATAACGACTTTCATTTTTTCGTCCGCTGCAATAGTATATACGTCCGTAGACTATAAAGGTTTAATTATTTAACCATTAAGAATATCGAGAGTAAATGGGAATCGAACCTGACAATAAATTATTCATATTCGAATTTATAGTAAAATCTGACCACATTAGGTAAACCAAGTTAAAACTTGTCAACAATGAGAGATTTTCAAAAACATCACATGGTAGTAAGCATATTACTTGGATCTTGAATAGTTTTTGTGAGGAAAATATATTCCAAATGTTAAGTATTTATAAAACTCAATAAATACTTGAAAATGGTTACTGTCTTTATTGATTCATACTTCAAATGTTCTTTCATGAGTTTAAAAAACGATACTCAAATGAATTCAGTTATCTAATAACCGATAAGTAAATAATCATTGATAACTAAACTGAAATAAATGTGTTCGTTTATTTATTCTACTAATACTTTTGTTTATTTAATCCGGTAAGAGTGAATGGTTATTTGTTGTTGTTTGTTTTTTGCTTTACTGTAAATATATAAACGAGTAAACAAACAAACAATTCCTGAGAATTATTTCCAAGAAAAAAAGAAGTGCTTATTAGATTTACAGTAATGAACTTATTGATCATTTGTAATTGATTATTTATGGAAGAAAAAACTGTAAACAAATCTTGTTGAGATCATTTATTGTTTTTTATATTTTTTTGGTAACTAGCAAGGTCACTTTATTTGGCAAAAATGTAATTGGATTTTGATAACATCCGTATGATTGAACATTGTTTGCTATGATCAATTTATATACTTAATACAAAGTTTGTAGTGACTTAGTTTCGTCAATTAATCACCTTGATAACCGTTATTATATAAACGGTGTTTGGATTCAGAAGGCAATATGAAGTGGCGACTATAGTTTATTAGTGGATAGCACAGATAACAAAGTTATAAGCACATCGAGCGAATTCGGAGTAGAGGGGCTAATGTGTGTTTACAAACGAATTTATATTAAGGGGAACCGAATCAAGGTGCAACTAAGTAAGACAAAAGCTATTAATAGGATTCGAGTATATATATACAAGGAAAAGAGGATGAATCATGAAGCAGTATTAACATTTAAGCTGGAGAGAGATATGTGCATATGTTGTCATATGTGGATCAAGCGTACACGTTTATAATAGTTTAAAATTATGATGACAGTGATCATAATAATACGAAGAAATAGATGAATTTTTATTGTCCAAATAATACTGTCTGTTAAATAAGTTAATAAAAGGGCTTAACAAAAGTCAACCATAGTCGAAATTAACCGTAGGAGAGTTGCTATAACTTCTAAAAACTTCATTTTTGTTATTTAATTTGATTAACAATCTGTAATTCTTAATCTGCAGTTTTAAAGGATCTAAGTACGTTATACTTGGTTATCCTTAAGGTTCATCAATTTGAATTTATAAGTGTAAAACATGATGATAAGTCATTGGAAAGGAAATTCTTCATTCAGTTCATGTATGTTTATTGTAATAAAGTAAAAATATTGAAATAGTTTATTTTTATGAAGTCTTGTTTGATTGTTTAGTAATTAAGTATACTATGATTGGAACTGAATTCTCATATAGGTCGGACTTGGTTATATGACAACAATTCCTAATTTGTATTATGTTGTTTAGTTTTCCAAAGTAATTAGCAGCTACCACGAGAATCATAAACTTGTAATTGATTGTCATGTACTGTCATATCATATAAATGTAGTGAATGATTTAAAGTTAAAATGGTTTGAGTTCAATATAATCTTAGGTTATCTGTTTTAACAGCTAAGCCACTAGCTTTCAGTCTTCCTATTAGTGATTTCCTAATTTTTTGATGATTAGATTAACGTAAATTTTCTTCTAGTATCACATAAATTGTTTGTTGACATCCTTATTGTTTACAAGTATTATATATTGAAATTAAAAGTCTAATTAATTGCCTCAATGTTCGCTTATAATCAAGTACAGTTGAGATAATAAAACAAAAATATTTACAAAAGATTTCAACCCTGCAATAACTCAAAAGTTATTCATTATTTTTACTTAATAGAAAATTGTAATGAAATGTTCGATAAATGGAAATCAACGTGAGGGTTAGGTCACATTTAGGATCATTTTTACTTTGAATCATCTAGAATGTAAAATACAAGAAGTTCAAAGACTATTCAACGTCAACTAGTAAATTTTAATGACACACATTACAATTAACTAGAATACATTATACTGAATCTAACAATACTCTATTGCAGTGGTGTAATGGATATTAAAAATATGTTTTATATCCTACCTAGTCTACTTCAGTTAGGAAGGGAGTATGACAGTAGTATTAATAACTTTCAGATAGAAAATCCAACTACGACTTTGAAGTTTTTATGGGAAATTCAAATATCATGTATAATGAGCAGTATGAATACCATTAAATACTACTTAGAACTATTAAAAAGGATGTGAAAAATTATTTTTGCAACCGCAGAGCAACGTCGATAGTTTCTCATATATCAGATATACTCTTTGTTAAGTGTCAAGGTATCGAACATAGATAGAATTTCGTGAAGGCTTCCCTTTCAATATTTAATGTTGAATATATCTTCAAAAAAAGTAGACATGAATTCATTTAGCAAATGCAAAGTATGTATTATTTGAAATACAGTTTTGAAGGTGGATTTTTAGTAGGGTTATTAACAATAAGTTATATTTATCTCATAAAGCTGTTAAATATATTTAGATAGTTGAGATCATGAGTCAATTGAAGCTGGACCACCATAGAAAACCTGGAAGCACTGGACGATCGTTTCGTTCTATCATGAGACTCCTCAACAGTGCGCATCCATGACCTCACCCTGCCAGATTCGAACCCAGGACCTTTCAGTCTCGCGCTCTAGGTCCCACGTGGCGGGGTCGTGAATGCGCACTGCTGAGAAGTCCCATAATAGGACGAAACAGTCGTCCAGTGCTTCCAGGTTTTCTATGGTGGTCCAGCTTCAATTGACTCATGATCTCAACAATTGAAATCTCCACAAAACCCCTTCAAATATATTTAGATCAATAGCTTACGAAAATTAGTTCAGCTTGACGACAGTTTACATCACAATCTGCCAGTTCGCCAAGGGAACACTTCCCGATTGTTCCATATTTTATTTAAAATTAGCCCATAATGTAAACCTGTCTTTAGAGTTGTATATTTCATTGTTAACTTTGATGAAATATTTAAAATGTTTTCTAAAAAGAACACTATACCTACATTGAGGCTTTTCATCAGTTTTTAAGCTTTTATTATCATTCTGAATAATTTCATCAGCTCCTATGTCAGTGCATCTATCTAAGCTACAAAGCTTTGTGTTATCATTTTAACGAAATTCATGTTTTCTATTAACCTAGGTATAAATTAAGAACATTTTAAGTATAAGTATTAGATTATTTAGAAACATACATAAAGTTACATATCCATTTCATTTATTCAGCTTGACCAGTTCACTTGATAAATCATGGACAGTCGTTTGAATGAGTCAAAATTATGAATTCACTATTTTCATTAGATTTACTAATCCATTTTAGATGACATAACATTAATCAAATGACTTTTGATAAACAGATTGATCTTTTCCTTTTAAAGTTATTCATTATCTATTTGTACTTTAATTCTTTCTTTTGTATGATATAACTATTAAGTGATTACATATGTATATCAAGATTAAAACCATTCGATCATCAAACTAAATATACACTTGTCTTATTCTATTTTATCAATAACAATATGACCTATCATCTCCATTATATCTTATCTTACAATGACAAATATGTTGGATGAATTAATCGATTTTATGATGTAATAAATAATGATTTTAATAAAGTGATATTAATAATAATAATAATAGTAATAATAATCAATGAATTGGATCAATATTCATGTTCACTTACATGTTTGATCATTGTCTTTTCTTCTATGCGCGTAATGTTCCATAGCTGAAATAGTTCAAAAATAAAATCAATTAAGTTAGTTATATAAAGTGGTTTTCAGTCAGTGATAAAATTACTTTATTGGTAAAAATATTTGTTTAACGGAAACCAAACATAGAGGTGGATTGCGAAAGTAAAATCAGTTTCTTTTTTTAGAAGGACCCTTATTATAAAATGATATGTTATGACGAATAACAAAAAGGTAAACATTTCATCATTGTTGGGTTTTAACCTCCTTTGGGATTGTAGTGAACACCTAACGAAAACTTTATTGAATAGAAATACAATAATTAAAATTTTACAACGTTACTATTTTGTAGCTCAGTGAATTGATGGGTTAATTAAAGATGTATTCAAAGAAGCACATCTGTATGATAAATGAGGTGATAAGAACCTTCACTCTGCTGTGATTTATGCATAATCTGTAACTTACACTGCAATTTTTGTGTAACGTAGTAATGTTCATTGTGAAGATTCATGAATACTATTCATTATTGGGTTTGAGGGAATTGCTGTATTGGCAAACTATTCTATCAATAAACATACGGTGTATGGTGTCGTTTGATAGTCTGATCTAGATAAAGACATACGGCGAAGCACCAGCGCTATTTAATATCCTCCTGTGCAAATTTTACTGGCCACAAACACTCTACACACTACCAAATTATCATGCTCTTGCCGCTTCCGTTGTTGCATAAATATTCCCTCCATTCAAATAATGTCATTCTCTTTATTCACCAATGATTAGGCGTACACGAAATATGGAAAGACATTTTAGCGTGTTAGTTTCATTTCGTTATAATCCACTGAAGCCATATCCCCACTTTGCTAGGCATCATAAAACTTTCGCGATGTCACAGCAAGGAAAGTGTTGCTAATCTTCGAAGTTATGAATCTGTAGACATTATCTAGAGTTTATTTTCGTTTCTTCTAATGTCTTGGTTTTTCATTACTACATATAAGATGTATTTGAGTAGTATTGTACTTAAGTAGTTTTTCGAAATTTACCTAAAATGGTAAATTGTAGGTTTTTACGGTCAACGTATTCAATGGATGCTTAAGAAGTCTATCTGTTCATCATACTTACCATCCATCATTCAGAATTATCCATAGTACCTTAAACTTAGCGATACTGCATCATCACAGCAAACTGATGTGCAGTAGGTAATGAATAACAGGGAACTTATTTTCTTTCTGTTAGTAAAAAAACAGCTATCTTTGAACTATACAATCACTTTTCATTGCAATCTACTCTGTCCACAGATATCAATTAGCCTTTTACAAAACTTTTTAATGGTAGGTAAGTTATCTAACAAATAAAACATTCAAATCAGGTAATTTAACTTAGTGCATTAGGCAATATAAGAATAAAACCTTTATAAAGTAGATAGCTTGATGTGTATGTTACTACTAACATTGGTAATGTTCATAATAATTCAGTTTGTAATGGACAATTTAAAATCTGGCAAAAACGTACATTATCTTAAGTTGTCATACTATATCAGTACGGTGAGATAAAATGAATAAGTGAAATATAAAAATAGCTGAAACAAAATTAATATCTCTGATGCTAAAAATAAAAAATATATAGGAGGAGAGTATGTGAAAAGGAATGGATTCCGTACATAAAACATACGAAATGTTATTAAACGTTAAGACTTAGTAAAAGATATAAAGTGAATTCATTATAGTCACTTTGACTAACTGTGATTTGTCACCCGACGAATTCAACCACTGATCTTGGTTATCTCACAGAATCCAACCCGACAGTCTGCACCTAACGATACGTCTCAGTCTGTTAGTCAGTAGTGATTAGAAATGATAACTTGATTAAAAATGCTAAAAAAGAACCATTAAACTATCTATTAAGAAAATAAATGTTTCTTATAAAATTGGGCAAAATTAACGGTGTGTTTAACCAGCCAATATTTTGTTTCATATTGTGACACTAAAAAACTGATAAGTAACTTGAATTCAAAATGGAAGATTAGTGTAAATTTAATTGTTTGCTCATTCATGTAATCGGTGTGTTGATTAATAATTACTACATTTTACAATTAGTAATTTTGACTAATAAATAGACTTGTTCAATTTAGTCCAGTTGACTGAACCTATTAAGTATCGAATAGTCATGGCACTATACGAATACGTCATTTCTAATGACCAAATTTTATTCACATTCCGCTTAACATTAAGAGAATTATTATAAAACATAATAGTAAGTGATGACCATATCACTTCACGAAGTTGTTACTGTGAAGTAAAAATATATTACAATCGTAAAAAAAGGAGAAGAATGTTTCTACTGGGGACAAATTCATTTTTAATGTTACATTAGTCAAGACAATAGAGTAAAAGGCCCTTGGACCAAATTTTTTATTGATTTAAAATGATCAGTGAGACACACCTAGAGATTGAGTGTTCATACGCGAGATCTAAGGTCCTTGGTTCCAGTCCCGCATTTGGGATCGTGGATGCGCACTGCCGAGGAGTCTCATAGTAGGACGAAACGGCCGTCCAGTGCTTCCAGGTCTTCAACGGTGGTCTAGCTTAGATCGACCCATGAATTCAACTATTAAAACATTTTAGTATTTTAGTATTTACTATTACCAAACTTTCGGTACCAATTTTTTGACTGACTACATTGTAAGCGTGATTGATATAATTTAATTAATTCTAGAAATAGTAATAGAAATCTTGAACTTATTGTTTACTGACCAGTTAGTACATGTTCGTCTCTCAGTGAAAGTTTTACCCACAATTGGTAAACAAATCTATGTGAGTAACTGATTTCCATAGATTGAAGTTATTATCGGTAGTCAGATAACTAATCATTCAACTAACAAATTAGACAAACACTTATATAATTATTACTGACAGTTAACTTGCCTATTTACACTTCATTATCATAAAAATACGGTACAATTATTGAAAGATATCTGCAATAATTTAGTGACTTAAGATATCCTCTACTTCCTATTTCTTTGTTAATTACTAATCAGACTCCAACGACTCCTTAGTACCAGTATTTCTCAGTTTGAGTTAACTTCATACCATTATATCAAAAAAATTATATGGAATTCATTATAGCGATTGAACTGTACTGAAAAATTGCTTGTTTATTAGTGTATAATACTTAATTTGTTTACAATTTAATGAGACTAGATTAATTTATCTTAAAGATTTTCGCACATTTATTGCTTAGAAGTTTGATATCTTTCATGAATGTTACAAACTGTAGATTTTTAGTAAATTTGGAGTTCTTTTCATAATAAATTCAAATCAGTTGGGAAAGCATTTAAACTAAGTAATGATATCGAAGTTGGTCTATCTTTGGGAAGGCCTGTCTACAGAATTAAGAAAACTAACAAACTCTTTAAACCGTAGAACATTTTAGCTTATCTTTACTTACTGTGCATCTTTAATCTTACATTTTTCATGTCTCATAATAAGCAATTTTAGCACAGAGAAAATCGAATCAAAATTTTATTGACCAAGCCTTTCTAGCATTATCCTGTTGTAAAATAAAATTAGTGTTCCATACATTTTGATAGTCGGATATTTTTGGAAGTGAAATTAAATTTTGTGGTCAACGTTTAAAAGCTTTTTAAGAAATTATTATGCTATTAAGTTAGAGGGATGATTAAAATTTAGTCTTTGGACGAAAAACATTTGTAAATTGTCAAATTTTACTACAACAGATTATGTAATCGAAACAGCATTACGCAATTGATAATATGGATGTCATTGTAACTAAACCTTGATATGTAAGTAAATATAAATATTAAATTCCAAGCCTTTTGTGAAGATTAAACTGTCAAACTAAAGAACCCTTCAACTTTATCAGTGATGAATAACTTAGCAGCTGTCACACAAATCAGACAGCAATGAAATGTTTATACAACAAAAAATGTTTTATAAAAATGTTAGATGTAATTTGTTTTTTTTTAAAAAAAAAACTCTGATTGCAGTTTACTCACTTTTATTAGTTGCTAAACAAAATTTATCAATTAAAAGTCCTATTTTTTTTACTAAATTAACTCATTATTTCTTATCATGACAGTTTGTAGTCTATTGATATTCTGGTTGACATGCAGAGATGATCTGCAAATCAGATTCTTTCTATAGCATAGCATTCATTTTGAACTTCTAATGATGACAATGGTGATAGAGTAATTGATGAATCCCATTTACTTTAAATGAATAATTAAATCAATTAGAGATTCCAGTAAAATATACAGTGAGTAGATAACAGCTTGAAGAAGGATGTGGAACGTTGAACGTTGGTAACACATAACACTGTTAAGTTTGGAATTATAGGTTCAATTTTAAAAGGGTCGTGAGTGGATAGTGTGGAACATTAAACCAGTGGTTTGGTGAGTAGTTTATACTTAGGACCAAACATATGTTTGTTATTCCTGTTTTCCATAACAGTGTCACCTGATGATCTTACCAACCAAACTAGTTGTGGTTTGTAATATTGAAACAGTATACCCCTTCATCTCAGCGATTTATTTAAAAAATACCTGCACACAGCTCATTTCACCCTAAGTTTTATTGCTGTCTTTTGAAAAAAAACGAATTTGATAAATTACTCGTCAACAAATGTTATTCTGTCGTGCAATATGGGGAAGATCTCATTGAGTTTGTATGTTCATGATCGTCTGATTATCCCTAGGAGACGACTAAATGGATAATAATTTAAAACTTTCAAAAGGTTAGTTGAAACACTGAGTCACGGCTTTAAGTTATACTTTATGGGAAGGACAGGTATATATTTTAGTGAAGTAAAAACACAATGGCCAAAAATTAATCGACGTGATGAACGTATACCAAATGTTGATTGATTACAAAACATAAATTCTTAAAGTCAAAAGTGAGATAGTATAGATGGGAACTGATTAGTCATTGTTAGTTATAAGCATTTATTGTAATACATGTGAAAGAGTTCGTAAGAATTGTTCAGAAGATTTATAGCCTATAGGATTGGTAAGTGGATATTCTAG